TAAGATGTTTGTTCCCAAAGCGGTTCACCAGCTCTCTGTACTCTAGTCCATCTCTGATTCAAACGACTGCAGAATCATCTGAGTATTTCTGCAGGTGACAGGAGTAGAACTAGTAGTCTGAAGTTATGCTTATGCAAAAAATACAATCCAGAATTCATTCAGGCCACAAATGAGAGGAACAAAGCTAAAGCTACTAGTAAATGGCTTCACAGTCAGATCTTTCATAGTGGAGCACATACAAAAATTAAAATCAAATTAAACAGACAGGAACAAATTTAATCTTCACCGAAACCAAAGCTGTATCAGATGACAACAGTGACAGGTCCTCTGGAGGGACAGTTATACTCTCTAAATTATTCATGCTAACCTGTAGCATCTAGGCTTGATTGAAAGGTGCTGTGCGATGTGATGTTTCAGTGACACTTTCCTACTAGTGCTGATATTATTACAAGACTTTCGCTCTTCTTTACCAAAGGTACTAATAAGGGTGGAAGATATCAACTTGTTTTGATACAGAACATTCGTTCATCCATAGTTATCTTTCCAAGGTATGGAAGAAAGTGTTTCCTATGTCCTGCGAGTGACAGCCTGGGAAATTCTCTTCTCTATTTCAAATCTCAGAACGTAACCAGCTTTCACTTCATTCTTCTATATTTTTAGGGGGTTAAATGACCCTAAAATACTTTTTGTCTGTGGAATTAATTAGTTTTTGGTGGAAACAAAGCACAAGACACACAAACAATAATTCTGACCCTTTACAACTTCAGAGAAAAGTCAGATTCATGACATTTCAGATTTTATGTGCTCCCCTTTCATTCCTTCCCCACTAACTTTAACAGTAGCTATGTCTCCATTGACTGTAAAATTGTCTGTAATGAATTATGAAAATAAATTTGCTTAAAGCCAATTTAGAAAAAAAACTTGTGGTCTGCAGTAGGATGAGGTGGGTTTTTGGCTGTATCAACATAATGTATTTCACAAAACTGCAATGGGAACACTTTTTTTCTATATTACTACTGGTGAAAACCATCGAGAAGACGAGAGGAAGATAACTGTTTTTAAATGACTTACCTAATTTTCTCTTATTTAATGGAAATGCCACAATTGCTAAATAGTTTTTTCAACATTAGGGGAATATCATCAAAGTTTTAGAATGGAAACTCAGCTAACAACTACAGAAAGACTGAGAATTCAGTTAGGCAGTGCAAGATGAAGTGAATAAATACCTTTAGGACAAGGAGAAAATTGCTTAATTCGTCCCTACAAAGCAAACTTAGGGACGAAGATTGATCTGTTTTAAAACAGATGGCAACAAAATCAAGATGATATGCAAACAACAGAGATTCAAGATTATTAGATGGTTGGAGGACAGTCCCTTTTTTGTACACAGGATAAAGATAGCCTGTTAGGATGTTTGCTCCACAGCACAACATTTACCCGAAGCCGTTAATAGTGAAGCATTGAAAATCTTTTTCCTCTGTGTTTTATTAGTTGATACAGTGAAAAACTAACCACTAAAACAGTTGACGTGTTTCTTAGGCAGTAAAATTGTTGTGCTGTTTTGTGCATGAAAATTAATTTCAAAGTATTTTAGTGTTTCAGTCACATTAAAATTGTTTTAAAATCAGCAAAATTGTTGCAGTTGCGGTTTAGAGACGCAGTTTGTCGTCACACTTTGTAGTCCGGTAGACTTGGTTCAATTGGCTGCCAAAATTGCAACATTTACTACACATAAAACAAACCAAACCTTTTGAAAAACCTTTGAAACAATCCAAAAACCTATGAAAAAGACATGAGAGCAACTTCCTCCTTTGCTAAATGTAAACGGAAATAGAGTTTGCTTCAACAGAACCGAGACTGAGGTTTGTAGGCGGACCTGGTTTTGCTTCTTTGGTTTTTATTTGAGTTGGTTGTAATCAACAAATTACAAAAGAAACAAAATATAAATAGCAAGAACAATACATGAAGTGCAACTCAGAGCAGATGTCTGCATTTTGCAGCAAGTCCACCCTTGATTTTCCCCTTCTGTCAACCATCTAATTCACTAGATTTGCATTGTAATCTTGCTGTACACTTACCATTCTTTTCAATATAAAACTCTCATTTCAAACCAGACCATCTGGGTGCTTAAGCTCCATCTTGTGTTACAAACGACGTCCTGATAAGTAAATTTAAACAAGCATGATGTAACAATGGCCCCAACAAGCACTGGACAAGATATTTTTGGGTGTATTGTAGCAGTGGCTCTCAGTAGGTCCAGGTTTACAGTCCATCAAGCAAATTATCAGGAGAGCAGAAGAAAAAAAAATCACTATATTCTGAATACCTACTGGACACCACGGCTCGTGACCTTTAAAATATCCTGTCTACATCATCCAGTTCCCACTGGATCACCCATCCTTAGTCACCGCTGCAGCTCAATAAGCTTCTTCCCAAAAACAAGCTTTTATGAGGAGAAAGTCAATCGCTTTAGCTGAATACCTCAGCAGAATCAAGTTTGATCTGCTGATTGGCTTTTGTGTCTTAATAATGGAAAGTTTTCAGACATTGTCTTCATATGGCTCGATCCTGTGCAGACACAAATCGGTTTTCAAATAAAAATACAAACGTTAATATTGCTAAATAAAATAATGTAAAAAAGTCAGATACAAGGTTTGGCTTAGATCCCACATTTTATGACCTTCTTTTGCCTCATATTTTCACTCAACTTGGTGAATCTGAATATTTTGTATGATAATAAAGCTGTTATATATATATATGAATGTTTAGGTCCTTCAAGGTATGTCAATATTGCCCACGTCCTGCCCTGATTTTTAGTAAGGTGCAGCCTTACTAAAAATTAGGAGGAACGCGACAGATGTAACTGTCAGTCAAGATAACCGAGGGTTATCTAGGGTTTGATAGTCAGGTCTCTTCTTCTTTGAGCAATTGACCGCAGCCGGGAAAGTTTGCTCTTTTGGATGATTGACCAAATTGTCCCCAAGGACAGAGCTCTCTTGGGTCCAGTCAACCTTGCTGCCACAGCTCATGTGGGCTTCAAAACAATGATTTTTAGTAAAGCCTTACTAAAAATCAGGAGGAGCGCAACAGATGCAACATAACCAACATAACTCAGTCAAGATAACCAACAGCAGGGTGCTGTGGTGGCCCAGGGGCAAAGCACAACCCACATATTGAGGCCTTGGTCCTCATAGCGGTGGTCGCAGGTTTGATTTCCAGCCTGGTGACATTTGCTGCATGTCTTCCCCCTCTTTCATTACCCTCTTTCCTGTTGAACTACTTTCAAATAAAGGCCACTAGAGCCAACAAAACCTTGAAAGAAAACAAAAAAAAAGATAACCAATAGCAAGTGTATTTAGCGGGATGTTTTCGCTGATATTTTTTCTTTTCAGCGCAAGCTCTGCAGGCGATGACCTCTACGAATTCTTTATTGGTAGGTCTTCGAACACCGCAGATATTTTCTTCTCTTGCTCTTTTCTGCAACACACTAGTTAGGGTTTGGTAGTCAGGTCTCTTCTTCTTAGAGCAAACGACCTCAGCCGGGGAAGTTTGCTTTTTTGGACGATTGACTAAGTCGTCCCCAATGACAGATCTCTTTTAGGTCCGGACTTCCCATGCCGCTTTCGTCAGCGCAGAAGTTAAGCTTTTAGACTCAGCGGTCTGTTTTTCATGAGTTCGACATGTATTTGATCATTGATGATCTCTTTCATTTCATTTCACTTGCATTTGGTGGAGGTAAAAACAGGTAGGGCATCCCACGCCTCCACGGCGTTGGATCGAAATCACAATGTTTCTGTAATGAAGGTCTTCATTACTTGGCGGCACAACACTTAAAATGTGTTAAATGATAAAAGAAATGCATGATGAATGAAATGAAACGGATACAAACAGATTGAAATGTTTTATTGTGTGTTTTATTCAGTTGCATCTCAGCTGGAACTGATGGTGTCCTGTTAAAATACAAACAAAAGGATAATATAAGTATTGTGATTGTTTGAAGGCTTTGTGTGGGTGTGGCTTACCTCTGTCTCTTCCTCTGCAGGGTGTTCAGGCTAAAAGATTCCCCGGGGGCCTGAGCACCTTTTAAAGGTTCCGGAAGAGACCAAAGCAGATGGAAGAGGGGGAGCAGTAGAGCTATGCATTTTATAAATTTAATGTTGGATTTATATTTATATTGATAATGTGTTTTAGAGATGCTTAAAATTAATAGTATTTGGCAATATATATTATTCTGAGGATTTAATTAGTTTGTCAAACTTTGTGTGTATGTATTTTGTTTTATCCTGTTTCTTGGTGGGTTGGTAAATTGGAACAGCCAGCGACTATAAAAGGCTGCATGCTGGCCAATGTGTGTTTCTGCTAAGACCCTAGGCCACTGTAAGCAGGGTTGTTTGTCTGTTAAATGTTGGTGAATAAACACCCAGTGGGTTTGCACAGTTTCTCTGCCTCAAGTCTCCTACTTCCTCCAGCCGCTAAGGGCCATCCTAACAGTTTCCTTTACAATCTAATGAAGAATATGTAAAGAAATAAAATGTTAAAAGATGTTAAAATGTTAAAAAGAAGAAAATATGTGAACATTAACAAACCATAAAATGAATAAAATGTTAAGAGTTAATAAAAGTTAATAAACCATAGAAAGGATGCATTAACAAATGAAATGAAATGTTAAGAATATCTTAGAGGTAATGAGTATTTAAGGGTAACAGAATATAAAACGAATACAATGATAAAATTTCAAACCAATTGAGTAAATAAGCATTACAGGCAGTACAATAAAACATAATGATATTAATAAACTAAAGTGAGTAAATGAGTATAAAATGCAGTACATTTAAAATGTAATGAGACTAATAAAATCAAATGAGTAAATAAGAATAAAAATGCAGTCAGATTTACTTGTAATGAGATCAATAAAATCAAATCAGATCAGTCTTTGTTATACAAGACCTATCAACGACAAATCAGATTCTGCATGTGTCCAGATGCAGAGCCGGCGCAGCCCGATGGAAAACCCTGACAGGATTCAATGTTACGTTTTAGCTGTAAACTGGTCCACCAACCATGGAAGGCGCCCACAGTCTCACATCCCGGCACACCCAGAAAGGATTGGACTTCATTCTGCAACAGAAAAAACAACAAAAGCACAATTAATAGATTATATAATGAATACTAAAGTAAAGGAAAAATATTATTTTCTATGTACTAGATACTAGTACTGTCCATATGCTCTAGAAAGCTAGAGTTCCACGGTCGTCTTTCGGTTCCGGGAAATCATCTGATAGGCAGGTGGGGTTCTATTGGGACCACTGCCCTTCTCTCTGTTGGAAGTGATGCACTGTACAGCCAAGGACCTCAGGCAGGGAACAGCAGCATCCACAGGTGATGAGGAGAGCAAGGAAGATTCTTTAAGATTGTGCATCATCTAATTAGTAAACATAATGTT